CCGCAAACATTGATCAAATCAAGCCCTACTTCGATCGTAATAAAATGCAAATCTTTTCAGATCTTTTGCAGGATCCGGCACGGCAGACACCGCAGGTACAAGTTCCAGAGGTGGGAAAAAACGACAAGTACAAGGGCAAGCCAATGAGAGACAGAAGCAAGTGAAAAGAAAATTGCCCCGCGGAAAAATTGAAGGTAAAAGAAAAAAAGAAGCCGTTCCACCGTCCAGAAAACAGAGTTCACGAACACCCCCAGAATGAAGAAGGGAGAAGGACGACGTATGTGAAGAGGACCAGGAGAAATGACGGCAACTATAACCCGGCTTTAAAACGGAAGATCTGACTCATCCGACAGAACTCTCCGCAGCAAAAGTCGCCGAACTGCGGAAGGGCCATCAGCGGCGGAGGAGGAAAAAGTACAAGAAAAATTTGAACGGCCAACAACGAGGTCCAAGCAGGATCACGACAGAAGTTTCCCGGTTCCGCCAAGACCAGCTGCCTTCAAACGGCCAAGACCACAAGCAGAGGAGAAAAGGAAGTGTTCAAGGGTGGCCGTACTGGTGAAAAACGGAAGCTTCCAGAGGAAAGCACTGAAGGGCGAGCCCGTACAAGAAGGAGGATAAACCAAGCTACTATCTGCAGTACCTTTAAAGACTGGGCCCAGAAAAGGATGTCCGAATATTACAAAGATAAGTAAAATTTTATGTTACTTTGCAAACTTAAGTTAATCTTTCATTCTTACTGCAAGTGGCAGATTTCAAGAAGTTTTACCTCATGCGAGGTCTACCTTTATCGCCAAAAGGGCGAGAAATGAGTTGTGACCGATTTTCGTATTATTATTTTTTTTTCAATTACTCGCGCGTAAAACTAAAGTTGATGTATAATAGCGTTGTGTAAAGACTTAAATATTGTAAAAAGTTATTGTATAAATTTTATTTAAAACATTCTAGCAAGAAAGAAGTTTTAGTCTGAAAGACTTTTTGAAATGTAGTATTATTTCAATGTAGAAAGAATTGGCACTTGCTTTGAAAAGAATAGAAGTTAACAATGTACTACTAATGTATGTTTTCAAATGTGTAAAATTAACGGCATGTTGATATGTTCTTATATACATGTGAACTGTTATTTTAAATGTTAAGAAATACCGTGATATGGTAAAAGTGAAAGTAATGTTAAAAATTTGTTATTCGTGTGACTGTAAAGATTAAATCATGGCGAATATGTGTTAAAGGTTGAATGATGTAGTTAGGCTCTCTGACGCTACACTTTAGAGTTAGCCACTTTTAGAATAGTACCTCAGGGTTTAGAGTTGAAATTAGGGTGTGTTAAGAGGTCTCGTTATGTTGAATTTTAACACGTTAGTGTTTTGATTGTAGGAGGAAGTGTGGCACACGTAGACAGAAACACATTCGTGTTTGGTGTTCTTTTACAACACATGTCAGAGAGCACGGGGGAGAGAGATAATTAAAATAGTCATGAATGAAATAAGAATGTTAAGAGAAGTATAATTCTATATGTTACTTGCCATGTCATTGTGTAACATTTCATTAAACTAGTTTTCCTTCCAGATCTCTGGAAGGAACCAGAATTGAATAAAGCTCCTGTTTAGATGCAGTACAGATGAAAAAAAAAGATTGTTGTATATCCTGGGAGCTGCTATTGTAACAAATTTCTTTCTTTTAAATTTTCTAGTTTCTAGCGAAGTTATGTTTGTAAAAGGTTGGCCTCGCGTTAGATTCTAGAGCTAAAAGTTTTCAACAAGGTCGTTTTAGACCTCAGTTTCAAACTAATTAACTCTGGCGGGAAGTATGTAAGGATCTTAAGTTTTACTAACGTTTATTTTATTTTAAATCTTTACTATCACTTCTTATTTTCTACTTCCGGCCAGAATTATAAGCGTGAAGGATTTTATGCAAAGTTTGTCTGGCGAACGCCAAGTATTTAAGTGTGGCTTTTTGCCAAGCAAGAGAGAGAGGAAGCAGTGAGTTCGAAGCAGGCCGCTTACCTTAGAAGTTACGCAGTTGCTGTTCGCCTTCCAGGCCAGAGGTTTTAATCCTCTTGATAAATTAAACGTATTGTAGTGTTCACAGTCTCTGTGCTACATACGCTTCCTGTTATTATAAGGCCAATCTTCCACGTGTATTATTCTAAAGTTAAATTAGAGTTTAGTTTTATTTTTTTACTTTTTACGTTAGACCCCGAGTGGAGGGTCATTGTATTCCGAAGTACGGAAGTTATTGTATATAGAGAAAAATAAAGGGTTTTGTATACCCTTCGTCTGTATCCTGTCTACTTACTACAATTAGTGAACATAGCTTTAGTAAGCTCTCTGTTCCGAGTCAGGTCCTTGTATGTTCCCGAAGAAGGTTAGAAGGAACATTGAACCTGATAGTCCTTACTAAATATGTCATAAGTCCTCCACTACCAAAATTTCGATAGTAACTCTTAAAGTATTTCCCGCAGGAAAAAGTTTACTCTGTGAATTTACAATGCGAATTAATTAATTGAAATATGCTATTAGAATATATGTGTTTAAGTTAATGTTGTACAATTATTTATTCAGACTTAGCAGCAATTCCGAGGAAATTCAGAGTAAGAAGGCGAATTAATATATTTTATATCATAATTTCTCAAGCTTCGTCTGTAGATCTAAGGTATAAGTTTTCCTTGTCTAGCTTATCATGTAAGCAAAAAGCACGGTCCCTGAATGAAATAATTTTGTCCTCAGGAAGCATTTTTTGTTTAGCCTCCTAGATCTCTACATAACACAAACAATCTACTATCTGCTTCACTAACGATAATTTGCATCTACTTTTTTTCACTTACAGTTTTTCATCCACTCAGGACATGCTGCTGCTCACTCACAAGCATCTATAATCTAATAAACGTAGAACTAGATCATTAACGACGCCATTCAGTAGAATTATATGCGTACTTGCGTAGCATTTCCAATTACCAGATGTAATTCTAGAGAGTTTTTTCCTTTGAGGAATTTGTCAAAAACATTGTCTTCTTGATAGAGAAACATAAATGATGTTCATATCCTTGTAGGGTTTATATTTATTTTAAAGTTTAGCTATCTTTCCTCAAGCCTTACTTTCCACTGGAACTGCCAAGCCAGAGTATGTAATTAGTAGAACGCGCAAGTATTATATTTGAAGTAATTTGAGTTAATAGAAGGGAAACAGTTCGTAAGTGGGCTTTCTGATTCACGAGCGTGAAGGTTGCTGTAAAATTAAGAACCGCGCGTTTCGGCCTGTGCGCCTCCGGCATTAGTGATCTTTCAACTTCTTATTCAGAAAGTTTGCTGAATCTCAGCGTATCTTAGAACGCGGTTAAGTTAGTCACGTTATAGAGCTAGTAGGTAGACCTGTATTTATTCATCCTGATTATATTTTTAGTTGTACTTTCGATTTAGTTAACCGCCGAGCCGGCGTAGTTTGTTGAGCGTTAGTGAAGCATCTGTAACTGCTAAAGTGGAATAAAAAGTGAGTTAAACCCTTCTTAAGAGTTTGTGTACTTTCCAATTCATAGCAGTCACTACTATTGTTGCGGGCAAGTTGGGGCCACGCAACATCACATCCTGAAGGCAAACTTTTGCAACATCTGAATCAAAAATGCTTCCAAAAACATAATGAGATTATCTCTTCTACAGATGTTTTTGTGCCACTACTAAATATGAATTGAATTCATTATTTGAATCTTTGAAATAGTATTTATCTCGATTTTAGTAAATAACCGAATCTTTGCTTCTAAAAGCTTTTAGAAATTTAAAAGTTTTTAGAACCACATAGCAAAAAAAAGTTCAAAATTTTCGAGAACCTCTACGACTTTTACTTATATTTTGGTAGTATCTAAAATGGTTTTTTTTCTTCTTTAATAACCAGCTTAGTCATTTGCCTTAAGAATTCCTTAATTGTTTCGAATTTAAATCAACGATTCATCAGTGGATTTTCCTGAAGTTACTTTGTCGTAATATTTTGCTACTTTAATTCACTTGTGGTATTTTTCGTAGCTTTCTGTTTTTAATATAAGGAAAAATCTTCTGCTTTATGATGGAACGATGTATTTTACTTTAGAAGATTTCTTGAAACTTTAGGCAACTCTACGAAACTGAGAAACTTCTGTCTTCTAAATGGATGTTTTCTTTAACTTAGCTAAAATTTAGCTACTTACATATTACATGAACCATCGTGGTACAGTTCTCTGTGTTTTCTACAGATAAAAAGGTAAAAATTACTAATCGGAAGCAGTCTAGCGGTTTTCGCGACTTTTTTTAAATATTACCAAACTACTAACATTTATTGTAAGTCGGCAAGCATTATCAATATATCAAAATACTTTAAAAATTTTAAAGTATATTTTAATTATTAAATAAGGATTAAATGATACATTAAAAGAAATAAAACTCTTGCCTTTTTCCTTCAAAATCGTTCTCTAATTTTTAGAGTTGTTGTCCCTATGTACACAGCGATTTGTTTTTACTTAAATAAAATCACAAAACTGCACAACATCGGCATTGGTGATCTACCAAATACATCCCATTATTGTCTCCTCTAGTGATTTTGTTGCACAAATTGTATTCTTGCAAAGTTGTGAATATAGTTTGTTCCATTACTGGTAAATTCTACAAGAAATATTTCAAAATTGAGTTGAACACTAAAAATATCATTTGTCCTTAAAAAACGATCGGAGATTGAAATATAATAAAAAGAACACACATAAAACTGACATTATTAAAATGAAGGATTAGTATAAGCATAGTTGCATGAAGAATATTTATGTATGTGGTTGCTATATTTTGGCACACTCTGAAATTTCGAAGACTTCTATTAAAGGTGACTACAATAATACGTAAATATCATTTATTTAATCGCGGATACGATACAAGAGCTGGACTGAAGATGCGTGTCTGTAAAAATTGTCTAACCTTTTATATTAATTTTCATATGCATTTAATGCCCATTTATGTGTTAGTTTAAATTTTTGATTCATCTTGTAGCAGCTCATCTTTATTCTGGAAGATAAATTTAGCTCTACCTCTAAGCCATTTTGGACCTTATGCGGCAGGTATGCTTACTGGAATACTAATTGCCAGGAGGATTCATCATAAAATCAGATTTGTAAGTATCGATTTATATGCTTGGGTATTTATACAAAGCACAAGGTGTTTTAGCTACATATGGCGCATAAAGAGGGGGAAATCATTTCGATTTTAGATGGCGAAATTTATTTATAGATCTGTTAGTATTCATCTTGTTGGGAGCATAAATATAATTCTGCTAGTTAAACAAACAATACAGTAGTCTTACAAATTACAAAGTTTCATTCGAAATGAATAAACATACCTGATCAGCTGAAATAATTTTTAACAACAGATTAATTTCATTCTATATCAATAATGGTTTTCTAATTAAAAATTTGGGTACTTTCTTATTATATCAGCTTCTAACATTACGCAGCTATGATTTCTCCGACCCCGTGAAGAGCGAACGTAAAAATAAAGAACATAGTATATAATAATAACAATAAAGCTCGCATGTTGTTTCCTAACACTATTTTTAATAATCGTTAAAGTGACTGGAACCAGTTTCTTCTAGCTGGTCCGTTTTATATCCATTTCAGAAATTTGAATATCATTATTCCATCTTGCAAAGGCTGAATAGTTTCCCTCATTCAGTGTACCAGCATTTAAATTCGAGATCTGAATGCAAAAACACTCCCATCTTCCCGGCATATTCCTCCAAAAGTCCACTGTTTTGGGAGTACTCTGCCGCGGTTGTTCTTTCATCGGATGAACAAGCTCTCACCCATTTCAACTATAGTGACAGCCTATTCGCCTACTGTACCTTTGCATCGGATGCAGAGAACACATTTCTCGAATGAAACTATTCTTATTAATTGCAGCATTTTTCCACATATTAAGCTGGTTGTTAGTCACAACGTTTGATGGACGTTCACTGCTCAAAAATACATTAAACTAATAGTAGTGACCAACAATATTCTGGAACACTAAACCAATTTTCAGCAAAGAGGCCCTTCTTCTTTTTAGGATTTTTAACATTACATCTCCAAAAGGTTTCGTTATTAACGTATAGTTTCCTGTTGTGGTTGTTTTCGCATATTCGTTTGTCAAGTAAAAGACATCTTTCTTGAAAAACATGATGCGACATCCACCTCTTTATTTGGTAAATAAAGATTGTTAACCGCATATTCACAAAAGCAAAGACTAGATTTAGAAACCAGTGGGGATTCGAAAACCTTAGCAAACATGAAACACTATGCTAATATAAGAACACGTGGCGAGATTTTAGCGAGATGTCTCATTTTATTAGCAATTCACTCTCAGGGGCCACTATAATGCAATACAAAGAAGTATCGAAATTTGCGGCATAAGTGCTTTGATTTCAAACAATGGTCCATTTTTTAACTGGTCTAAAGTTTTAATACTTTAAAATTATCGGAGTAACAGTGAGAAATCGCCTGTCATGGGAAATTTTACTGACCTGTAATATGGAAAGTTTTACTTCATGCAGTCCATTGCTCCACTTTTTATCTGTGTAATCTTCTCATCTTCAACTGAGCGTTACGGTGATATCCAACTCTTTATTATTATTATTACTTGAAGCCTAGAAGACAGCTTTTAGTCTCCAAACACGATTTTTGGATTGAATCACTTTAAATATTATTCGCTTTAAATGCATTGTTTCAATTTTAATTAGAGTCTCTTGCCAGTCGGCAAAATATAAGATATTTATCTTTAAGATTTAAGCCCACCAGCGGCCGAGCGGTAAAGTCGCTGAACACTGGCGTTCGGTCCAGGTTCGATCCCGCGAACGGGCCGGCTGATGGGTGTTTTCGGGTTTTCCCATGGTACGTGTATACGAGCCGTTTCCCTTAGAAATCCCCCGAGTCATCCTCCCCTTAGATAGCCCTCGAGGCTTTGCCATAATCACACACACACTTTAAGATTTAATCTATCTGGTTGTTATTGAGTAACAAACTAAGCTACTGAAAAGCAGCAGGCGCAGTTATTAACAGTATTTTGGGGTTTTACTTTTTAATTCGATTGGGGTAAATAAAAACGCATTTAATTCATAGCATATGTAATTAAAGCGTTCGGTGGTTTGGGAGGAATTGAATCAGCTCTTCATCCAATTGGAAAATTTTGACGATGTAACCGACACCCTGAATTTAGAGATGGGATCTTTTGCTGATATTATATATTTGGTGTCAGTTTGGGATCTTGTCTATTTATTTATCATTTACCTTTAACGGAAGTTACCATTTAAAACCTTTGACTTAAATGATCAAATGGCGGAAGAGAAATGGGCAACATTGCCTAAGCTCTTTTTCTTCTTTTCATAAGAAGGAAGCGCCACTAATGTTATGTTATGTTATATGCAATTAAAACATTAAATATTCTTGTAGAATAACGTCCTATATTTTTCACTTATGAAATATGCGGAAGATATATAAGGATTTCATATCAGTCTATATATACATTCATTTAGTTTTCTAAGGAAATGTTTCGCCATTACACCTCAGCCATCTCTACTAATAATCTCTACTTATAGACCATATTAGACTTCAAAACAGTCCTTTAGTATGACGGTTGAAATCTGAAATTTCTAGATTTTTTTTTACTTATTTATTTATTTTTCTTACAGTTACTGAAAACCATGTTAACAATTTTCAGTTTGCCATCGATTGAGAAACAAATCATTCCTTTCTTCCAAACAATAAAATTCATGGAAATCACTACGCAGAACTATAATACAGTAAACAAGCTATCAGATCGAATATTAAAAAAACACTTTATGTTTTAAAAATTAATTAAATGGAATAGAAATCGTTTTAAATATGCGCAAACACCGTCTGTGATTGTAAGCTCATCACAAAATCTAAAATAATTTTTTGAAGTTCATTTTGTCATTCATTCATTTGTTGATATGTATTATAAGGTTCCTTAGGATCAGTAGTAAAACGTTTTGAGAAACACATAAGACTAATTACTTGGATTTAGTATATATATTGAGAAATTTAAATTATTCGCAAATTTCTTCTAGTGTGTTGGCGGACTTGGTTGGATTGTCTGCGTCGGACTAATATATGGAATTGTGCTAGTGACATATAAATACAGGGATGATAGTCTGAGTGCCTATTGGTCTGCAGTATATGCCAGTAATCACAGAACAATATTTGCCCTCTGTGTTGCTTGGATCATGATTGCATGTTCTTTCGGAACTGGAGGTAAGTATATACATTTTCAAATTAAAATTTCGTTACAGTAGTACGACTGTATATGATTAATATTCGTATTTTCTAGTAGAAAATAAAATGGTAAAAGTTCTGTTTTAGACCATGCTCTCTGTGATAGAATTTATAGCGCATTATACTCGTACAATTCAGTACGCAGTTATTTCTATGAATTAAAAATAAAATGTTTGATTTTTTTGTTTACATACACGCAAATAAAAGGTCATACTACAGTATTACTTTAACGTTTAACACATTAACTAATAATACGTATTATACCTCAACGATATTTACTCCTAAACTTGGTATAGTCGTAATACAGTGAGGTTCTCCGTTAAAATAACACAACTCATAAGTACACCGATAAAACAATCCAACAGAACAACCTCAAAGCTTGCCCAACAAAAATATAATAATGCCAAAATAACTCTTACCAAAAGGGCTCACCTCATGCCAAAACTGTCCCAACAAAACGGCTTTCTTGAGTAGATAGTTATAGTTCAATTAATAAAGGAGACTAGTTACAGCTTTTACTAGGTACCTGACAAAATAGTTAGACAAGGTAGTCCAAAGAAATATCCCAAGACTAAGCAACCTCTGTCTTAAAAAAACCCAGAAAATCAGCTCAAATCCGAATTCTGAATATTTATTAAAACTTATTTTGAGTAATATATATACAGCATATTATATCTATACAGTAATATATTGAATATATCGATCTCTGTGCAATGCCATCTGAAATGGAAGTGGAAATGCTTTCCTATTTCCTCTCTTTTTAAGTGAAATCTTACAAAGCTCTATACAAGACAGGCTGCTACAATTTTATAACACCTGATGTCGACCATTATAGCCTATTTATTGTAATAGTAGTTACTCTTTTGTAATAGCTGAACATTATTCTATTATATATCCACCCCAATATAATTTATTTTATTATTCCTGACGTGGATCATTACGGCTTATTAGCTGGAATAGTAATTATTTTCTCTTAAATTACTATTTCAGTTAATTTTTATAATACCTGACATTAATATGTTGTTGTGTAAAAGCTGTGAATATTCTCGTTGTGTAAAACATGTGAATATTCTCGTTGTGTATAAACTGAGATATCTTCCTTGGAAATTCAAACATCTGACTGTTTATAAAATTATTGAAAGCCATTTTGTAGGAGCTATTTTGGCTCAGGCTATTTAGTTTTTTGGCTGTTCTGTCGGGGTTAGTTTGGCTTGAATTATTTTGACGTGACACAATAAAAATAATAATTTTATAAACAGTCAGATGCTTGAATTTCCAAGGAAGATATTATGGTTTCAAATGTCGACAAAAATTTCATCGACAATTATATTTGTTTTAAATATGCTATGAAATAACAAATTACATAATGAGTAATGGGTTACATGCACAACGAATTCCCAATGATTCGATTTTAGTGTTTTGATTTTATAACGAAAGCTATACGGATCCAGTAGTTACTTCCAAATAGAAATAATGCGATGTGTGTAGAGAATAATATGAATAAGCTTGCTGCTGTATACGCGTTATATGAAATAATTTTGCTTAAAATGTATGGAATTAAATATGTATTTTCTTGAAATCTCTGTGGTTACGAAAATTTAAGCGATTGTTGATGTCTCGGCGTCTTCGAACTGCTATCTGTAACTTCACCAGAAGACAAGAAAACTGACGAATTTTAACTGAAGTGTTTCCCACATATCAGCAGTTAAATAGGAGTCAATGTTTCTAATGATTTTTTTATTTTTATACAATATATTAACAGTGAACATCCGCGTCTTACTTTCAATGCGACACTCAAACAATTTTAATCTTAGTGCAAAAGTTCAACCTCACAAAATATATTACAGACGTTAACAGGAGTATAATAATTTATCGATACAAGTATAGAGAAGGTAGTATAAAACATTTTTATTATAATTACAATAATGAACAATTATAACAATGCTCAGTCAGTCAGTAATGTAACCGTTTCTACTGTCAATGACCAATTGCCTTATTAAGGATGGAGTGCTATGTCTGACCTCTAGAACTGCTTTGCGTTCTAGTTGAAAACCGCAGTTAGCCAAGTTATATGAGCAGCTTCATCAGGAAATATAATCCACTGAATGTGATTGAACAGAGAGAGACTGAGAGTAACAGATATGGACAACTATTTTTGTAATTGTCATGTATGTGGTACTCATGAGCCGACATTCTGTATCTTAATCATCCAATGAACAAACGCACAATAGTAGTCGAACAGTCACATTCTAAAATTTGTGCCAGTTGTTGAATTATTTAATGACGATTCTCGTGAAGGTATTGATTTAAACCACCTTCATAAAAATCTGAGGGTCTTCTTGAATATGAACATTAAATAAATCAAATCGATTTTCGCGGAACTGAGAACGTTTTCTTGCCGTATACACAAGGCAAATTTTTTGTACCATTTGTGTTGCATTTGATCCTTGGTTAAACGGAAAACATACAAAAATGTCCACCTTTGTCTGCTTAACAATCGATTTCGTTTTGACTGCAAAAGAGTCGAAATGTACTAACAAGTCTTGCACGCATTGTGTTCACGAATACAAATCAACAAACTAAGCAATAACAATGAGATAACGGACAACGAACATTTAGTAACACTGTGTTGAAAACCCATAAAAGTAGCTTAGAATATCTGACCCAGTAAATAGCATATCCAATGCTTTATAATAAAATCAACTTGCGTTAAATTGTAATATTACATTATAAGGTATATCTCCCACTTCCCTAGCGAGCCTTCGTGGTGT